TCAAAACCCAACTCTTATGCCATTAGAAAGAGGATCATGAAAAACCTATAAAAAAATGGTTCAAGAAATTTTAGTTCGCTCATAAAGCTAAAGTCCGCTTGCTCTAGCAAAAAATGCCCACTGTGCGCAGGTCATTAACTGGACTTGTAATTCATCTTGTATATCTTCATCTTTAGCAAAATGCGTAGGATGTTGAGTTTTTACAATAATTTTTTCAGTTTTTGAAGAGATCCTTGAATTCCAACAAGAGCTTGGTCGCTGATGTTATAATGAGGATCTTGACGAGGGAGTACGAGGAAGGGGTTCAACGTAATCGATTGCGATCATCTGGTGAAGTGATTGGATGCAATAGTCCTGGGTTTTTCTGTCGACTGATATTGAACTGTTGACATTTAGAACAACATTTAATGTATTTTTCAATTGACGATTTCATATTCGGCCACCAATACTGATGCTTTAATTTAAGATATGTACGATGAGAACCAAAATGGTCACTAATAGGATCATCGTGGGCAGCTCTCAACAAATCTTTAATCAGATATATTAGAATGTACGTTAATTGTTTTGTACGTTGAGAATGAGAAAATTGAATTAGTTTATACAAAATTCCATTTTTTAAAACAAAATTAATTTTTATTTATTTATTTTTATTTATTTGTTCAATTATTTTTTGAATATATAAATCTTTATCTTGTTCACTCTTAGGTTTGCGAATATCAAAATTATTGCAACTGAATGGAAAAAAATCAATATTATCTTTTATTAGTCGAAATTTTATCGAATGACTCGTTGGAATTTATAAGAGTTTAGTCTAAATCTGTGTCAGTCGTACTTGTATTTGATAGTTGTTGCTGTTGCTGCCGTTTAGCTTGTAATCTTGTTGTCACTGCGATCACTAAAGCCTTCGAGAGTTGTGACCTGCATTTAAGCTCCTGAGACTTAACTTCCAAACCACAATTTGGATCAATCAGACCTGGATCGTTAAATTCAAGTGGATAGCGTCACATATAATCTGGCAGACAGTTAACTTTTCCTTTTATGTAGAAGATAGCAATTATATTGTATTCTTGTGAAATAATAGAAATACGATTTTCCAGTTTATTTCGCAGAGTTTTTTTATGTATTCCACATAAAGGGCAGTGGTCGGTATATATGATGATTTCACGTCCAAGCAAGAATTGTCTCATTCTATTGAATGATAAGGCTATAGCCAATGCTTCTTTTGTGCCGGTGTCATATTGCTATTGAATTTGATTAATCAATTGACTGTGATAATATAAATAGTGTATCTGACCATTTATCCCCTGTTGAAGTACACCCCTAATTCCATTTTTCGCTGCATCTGTCGACAAAATTATAGGATGGTTGTCCAGTGGGAAATGAAGAACTAGTGGGACTTCGGTTAATAATTTCTTAAGTTCATGAAACGCAGTCGATTGAGAAGTGGTCATTGAAACTTATGTCACATATTTTTAGATAACTGCATGATTTTGAAATGATTGCTTAGATACCAAACTGAATCTCACAGTATGGGCTAATATAGTCACTACAGACTTTTCGTTGACCTAGTTCCCCGGCAGAGAAACTCGGAAAACAGTGAGCGCCACGGAATTGCACCTTTTTCTGCTCTTCTTTCTCTCTAAAATTCAAATTTTTACTCCAAAGATTTAATTGTGTAAAGAAAATGATTTTTTTTTCTGTCTTTAATGTATCATTAGGAACCCCGATTATTAAACTAAGAAATTCAAAATATTTCATTTTTCAAATCTTTCTGGCAAGAAATACCTGACCAACTCTTAGCGACAATTACCGGGAGGGAGTTTTTCCACCAAAATCAGAATTTTTTATCCTTTGAAAAGACCGATTGAACCACTAGGATTGATTCATATCTCATTCGATAGAGCCATTTTCTACTTTTCGTTGTTTCTCATACTATTCTGGATTGCCGATCTAATGGTGCTTAAATGATGCAAAAAAAATTTCAACAATCTCGTCGGTCGTTTCTATACAATATATCGTAGCACAATTTATATGGTAAGAATGAAGCAAGGTAAAACGCGTAACTGTCACCTTCCGTTGCGGTGAATTGAAGGTTAAAACGAGAGAAATCTACTAATGCTATTTTAAAGAGCGATATCGAAAACGTATAAATACAATATTTTCAGCTTGGCGAGAGAGCAAAGCACTAATTAAAAGAAATGTATGTGTCCTCATAGAAAATTATCTGCTCTTTCCAATGATCATCTTGATTTTAAGTTTTGATGCTCCCATTCGCGAGAAATGGCCACATAAATTCACCTCATTTCTGATGTAATTCCGTCACGAAATTAGAGAGGACACACCTCTTCTTAGCGATTCGAAAGAAAACAAGAGTTTTTCGTGAAAATCAGATATAGTTCTTGTTTATTAATGAGATCTGTCCGTGTTGAAAAAAACTGAGTCGGTATATAGCTCTCAAACTATACGGACAACGCACCATGCTTTTTGTTCTGTCATTTAAAAAAAATGAATTAGGTAAATTTTTCTTTCTTTCTTATTTTTCACACTTCGTTAATCTTCCTTTTTCTCTTTCTTCAACGACTCGACTTTTTTTATACGTAAATGGAAGTCATACACGCGCGTTCTTTCTTCGTTTTTTTCTTTTCTTTTCTGTTACGTACTGCAGTGCAACACTCGTCTTTCTTCTTTTAAAAAAAGCTTGAGAAGAAGGAGAATGTCTTCAAACGCAAGCAATAATAGTAACCTATCATCGGTAAACGAGCAAGCGAAGACAGCGACGACAAGTACAGCAGCAAATTATGCAAAATGGAATAAAATTGAACAACTTAGCGATGATGACGAAGATAAAATGATAAAAGGTAAAGATCTTTTTTCCTAAAAACTGCAGTTTTTCATTCCGTAAGAAAAGTGTCTTTTTACAGGTATTGAAGGTCACTGGACACTGGTTAAATTTGAACCGTATCCTGGCTGTGAAGGTTACGAGTTTGATATTATTAAGAACACCGGTGGTGGCGATCACGTCTATCATATCTGTACTATTGGTATTATAAATAAAATTTGGTGTACTGTAGAACAGACAGGAGCAGAGGAATGGAAAGTACGGGGCAAGGTGAATATCACGGATGATGCACACGGACTGGAAGAAGGAATGAAAAGAGATAGAATAATTGCTGGTATTCTACAGAATATTCAGAATATTGAACAGAAGAGTAAAGGACATTTAGTGTTAACAACGGCAAATATAAAAATTGTCTTGGAACGACTGCCGGCTACGCAGAGAGATATGGAAATGAAGAAGAAGAAAGTAGACACCTAGCGATTTTTATCTAAATCGTAGGCTTTTGATGAGTAAGATACTCATAAAACGAAGAATACGCATTTGGGAACAAATTTTGCGTTTATACCCAGAAAATTGCGTTATTTAGCCGGCAAATAAATAATTCTTAATCAGTTCGTCAGAACTTCAAATGCTCAAAATGAACTCTGACGTTTGAAGTTTAAAAATGCATAAGAAAACTTAGATTGGGTAGGAAGGTCTGCATAATAGAGGAGGAAGAGGATCGGTCTGAGGCAACTCCATTGTGGAACACCTCTTTCAACACTGAATACGTCTGAAATCAGATCATTCAGTTGAATTTAACATGTTCTATTTTCAAGATAAATGACGATGAACTGAACCAGTTCTTTTGCACGGTTGGGTTTTACAGAGTTTATAAGTTATATTAGACCTTTATGCCACAAATTGTCGAAAGCTTTGGTAAAGTTTACGTATGTGACTAAAGTAGTAGTTTGCTTCTAAAGCGAGGTACTAATATCTCGAAGAAATTATGTAAATCGACTGATTGTTGAATGAGAATTTCTCGGGAGATGAAACCTTGGGGTCTGTCATCAGATATACAAGGAGGCAATTTTCGTGAACTTTGCCGAGACATGAAAGAAGGGAGATTGGTGGAGTTCTATCGGTGGCAATCAAGGATGTTATTTTCGGCCGGAGGATCATCTTCGCTTGTTTCCAGTGTGCACAAACTTCATTGTTCACGAGTAATTTATAGAATATTGTAAGAAGGAAGAAAGTTAGTTATGAGACTGAGGAATGTTTTTGATCAACTTGTTGCTCACTGTAGCATAACTCGTAATGAAAGAATTTCGTGTCGTCTAGGAGAAAAGAGAGAATTTCACTTCACTCTATAGAAAAACTCATCTTTTCTCTTCAGACGTTAATTTTTTAATAAAACATGTCTTCACCTTTCATTAGAGACTTTGATTATAATGTTTTTGAAGTAATACGTGAAAATAGTGGTACATCTAGACAGCCTCTGGACCCACAACTGAGTGACGACCAGCTGAGTGCTCTTCTGAGACCATCCGGTGGTGGTCAGAGTCGCAACTCAGAAATTCGAATTTTCAAAAGAGCGAAGAAGTAATGGTAGGTGAAGAACAAAACCGCCAAAAGCATCGAAGTCCCTTACTTCTGGATTTTTACAAGTCTCACAGTAGCAAATTTCCTGATAACAATTGGTTTTCTTCTCTAGAAATTCTCAAATACAACATCGAAAGATAATGGTGGGTGCTAGATAAAAAATAGCTGTCGTCTTTTTTAAATCGGCACTTTTTGTCGCATTGAGAAAAGGTAAACAATATCAAAATCATTAAAAACTGGCAAAAATTAAGAGTCATTTTCTGAGAACGTAGCCCGCGGACCTCCTATATACCTATACTGGTCAGATTTGGCTGAGATTTTGTGACATATTCTACAGTTCAAAGTAGGATTACGAAAAACATTTTACTTCCTTCCGACCTCTTCTTCCAAAACTATTAATCGTGACCTGAAATTTTTATCACATGTTCTAGACATACTTGTCTGTAAACGGCGAAAAAAAAGTGCTCTGAAAAGTGGCTGTTGCGGTTTTTACACTCACTTCGGTCGTCCAATTCGTTCGTTTAAAGATCTGTCGCGTTCCCCTTGCAACAACGAACTGGAGAGATGAAAGTAGCAGGATCTAGACCAGTTTTCGATGCTGCTTCCGAAAATATAATCAAAAGTTCCTAGAAGCCGAAACAGAAGTTTGGTTTTTCTGAAACCTGCCAGAAAAACTAGAGTTTCGTAAAACAAACTTTTTGAGTTCAATCGAAGATAGAGCAAATCGTTAGCTTCAAGATGAGACCTTGCCGAGATCTGCACGACATTTTTTCGAGGAGTTATGCATTCTTTTAATTGTCCGACGTGTTTTCAGCATTTTTCTAGGCGTGAAAATTACCATATGCTTTTGCAAAATTTCATTCTGAAAAATTCTGTCAGAAGACGTGTCGCTCTCCAGATCAAACTACTGCCAGTACTGTTAACATCTCAAATCAAACTATTTCACTCCTCTCAGCTAACGATTAAATAATTGCCATTTGGAATACATCTGTGGGAAGTGATTGTAAAGATTCACTGTTGACTTTAACAGATAATGAAGGACAGCACGGAAGTCATCGTAGAAATGAACAACCTGAATTTCTACTCGACGGAGATTTAGGTACAAAATATTTTAAGCAAGGAAATGGTGCTATCGGAGTTTTCATGGAAGATAAAGGTGGTGATAACGCAGTTGTTTTTCCTTATCCCACCATAACAAAGTTTTCTTTTTTTCAAAAACTAACGGTACTGGTTTCTGCATAGGTCCAAAGTTAGTCATTAGCAGTAAATATTTACTAGCGCAACATTTTCGAATGGCTATAGCGGAAGACGAGCCCACACGTGATCCGTTGAAAGTTACATTGGAACGCGGTAACTCAACTGACACAAATGAGTTGAAACAGCGGCAAAATTGGAAATTGATCTATGGGGGAAACAGTTAATGTGAGTTTTTACTTTGATTTTAATATTGTTTACCTTTTCTCAATGCGACAAAAAGTGCCGATTTAAAAAAGACGACAGCTATTTTTTATCTAGCACCCACCATTATCTTTCGATGTTGTATTTGAGAATTTCTAGAGAAGAAAACCAATTGTTATCAGGAAATTTGCTACTGTGAGACTTGTAAAAATCCAGAAGTAAGGGACTTCGATGCTTTTGGCGGTTTTGTTCTTCACCTACCATTACTTCTTCGCTCTTTTGAAAATTCGAATTTCTGAGTTGCGACTCTGACCACCACCGGATGGTCTCAGAAGAGCACTCAGCTGGTCGTCACTCAGTTGTGGGTCCAGAGGCTGTCTAGATGTACCACTATTTTCACGTATTACTTCAAAAACATTATAATCAAAGTCTCTAATGAAAGGTGAAGACATGTTTTATTAGGTGTGTCATCGCTAATTTCGTGACGGAATTACATCAGAAATGAGGTGAATTTATGAGGCCATTTCTCGCGAATGGGAGCATCAAAACTTAAAATCAAGATGATCATTGGAAAGAGCAGATAATTTTCTATGAGGATACATACATTTCTTTTAATTAGTGCTTTGCTCTCTCGCCAAGCTGAAAATATTGTATTTATACGTTTTCGATATCGCTCTTTAAAATAGCATTAGTAGATTTCTCTCGTTTTAACCTTCAATTCACCGCAACGGAAGGTGACAGTTACGCGTTTTACCTTGCTTCATTCTTACCATATAAATTTTGCTACGATATATTGTATATATACAACATAGTTCTTATGATATGACAAAACTTCGAATTTTTTTCTTACTTCAACTTCACACATCAGCTGAGCACAAATAAAGTGGGTGGTTTTAAGAAACGTGGTTAGACAGGTTCCTAAAATAGTTTTACTAAATGTCCGTCTGTCGAAAGATGTCTACTTCTGTGAAACCCTAAGTATCATCCCCACAGAATCCCTGTTCGAATACTACAAATATTACATTATTTTATTCTTTTGCCTAACTTCTTTCATGGGTAAATAAATCGTTTCCTTCTGTCAACGAGCGACATCAATATTTTTATTTTTCAATTGGTTCGTTAACTGCTCAAACAAAAAACAAGGACAGGCATCTCAAATACATGAGGCTATGTTCACACTACGACTTAAGCAGCTTAATTTTTTCGCCCAGTGCCGTGGCTAAAGGGGGTGTGTGGGGGGGTGTAAGCTCCCCCTGCTTCTGGAAAAATTTTCTCTTTAATAGTTTTTCCTTTCTCTTCAATAATTCCTTTCTCCTTAGAATTCTGCTGCTTTTTTTTTAGAGTTGATCTCTCAGAAAAAATGCACACCCCTCCTGCTTTTTTCTCTCGCCACGGCACTGTTTTCGCCTTAAGGATTCTGATTGGTGTCTTAACTTTTTCTTCGTAAAGGCACCGGTCAGAATCCTTAAGGCGAAAAAATTAAGCTGCTTAAGTCTTAGTGTGAACATAGCCTTAGGCCTTGTCTACACTACAAAAGTTAAAGGAGCTTTAAGCAATTCTATTGACTAAAAGTTAGTTTAAGCCAATAGAATTGCTTAAAGCTCCGTTAACTTTTGTAGTGTAGACTTGTAGTTACTGAGATATCCACTATTCCACACTAGGAAAAACGCCCTCTATTGTATAGAATAGTGGATATCTCAGTAACTACAAGAGATCATAAAAAAAGGAAAATAGAAAATAAAATCCCACGTGATCCCCGTTAAAATGTAAAACTGTCATCCAATGAATTTATTTTCTTAAAACCGAAAGAACACTGGAAATCCGGAAATGATTGGATGAGTCATCACTTTCTGCGTACATTCCCTTGACTTTAGTCTAGGGTCTTACAAAATGGTTGTCTGTGTGTGTGTGTGTGTGTGTGTGTGTGTGCGCAAAATACGGAAAAATGGCTGTCAGATATTCTATGGATAAGCGAATCACAGGAGACAAAAGTAGAAAATTATTTTTTACATAAGAGAGAAAATATTCAAAGAGATCATCTGAAATATGTACTGATGCAAAGAGGCAAACAGCTAAGCAAACGTTTTCTGTAAGCCGGGTGGAAGATGTCGCCAGATAGCAGTCAACTGTGACAATACAAAAAAAGTGGTATACGGATAATAAAATTGACAGTATACTGATAATCTATTATAACAAATCGATTAGAAATACTTCCAACCTCCTTGGGATCTGCAGAGGGTGTGCAGAAAACCTTTTAGCTTTATATTACATTAGATGGTTTTCCGGTGGAATCAGACAAGTTCATGGCATTTCTCATCTATACTGGTTGCGAACGCCGACAGAAGGGAAGCATGAGGATTGTTTTAAATTCAGAAATAGTTTTAGACCTCTTGAGATTTTTGCTCTTTATATTCATATTAGATTCCGAACCTTACACATGAAAACAGAAAAAGTCCAGAAGATGTCTTAGGCAGGTCTCCAGCGAGCGTCGGCCGAAGGGAGGTGTGAGCATTGTTTTGAATTCAGAAATATGTTTAGACCTCTACAGATTTTTGATTTATATATTTATATCAGGTTACCACCTTATACATAAGAAAAGAAAAAAAATCCAGAAGATACCTTAGTTAGGAACCCAGCGAGCGCCGACCGAAGGCAGGCGTGAGCATTGTAAGTCGATTTATAAGTCACCAAAGGGCGTTCGCTTGCGCAGATCCAACTTAATAAAGTCAAGGGACCGAGCGAGTGGAGACGAGCGTTACCTTGTACTATAATATAATGTAAATGTAAAAAGTTTTCGCGACACCATTTTGTAAGATTCTGAACTAAAGCCAAAGGACGTGGACATCAGAAAAGTGAGTGACTATGTGCTGCATGTTAGACACAAATGGGCACAAAATGACGAAAGTGGCGTGTCTTTTGCTGCGATAGTGAGATGCAATTTTTCAGCTTGCATCAGCTAGAGAGCACCACTTAGCGCCAAAGTGTGCCATTTCTATTGCTCTACACAGCCTATATCTTCAAGATGCTGGCGTTGACGTTTTTGTATATTGTGAGAGATTTCTAATGGATGCACCCACATTTTGTTAACGAAGAACGTTTCTTTTCAGAAATTTTATCACCTTAGTTTTATACTGTTTTACACAGCTATGTTTACACTTCTCCGTTGCTTTTTGTATACATTTGTCTTTAGCGACATAACAGAAAGAAAAACACACACTAGCTACTTCTTATCTATACGAGTCTACATCTTCTGTTTTCATTTCACTTCTTTCTGTTTGCTTTTGAAAACATCGAATAGTGAGATTATTACATTCATCGTAAAGAAAATAGCGTGCTCCTATTGTGGTAACAAATCGGTGTGAACTTGGTATCGTTCAGCAGTGATTGTGTCATTTAATATTTGTGACTGATTCGTAGAAAATAAATTGTAGTCCACAAGATTAATGGAGAGAACAAATGGCGCAGACGACCGTACCTTTCAGTTTAACAATGAATCAGTTATATATCGTCCTCTGACAACTAATGAGCAAGAAGCGGCTCTAACACATTGGCGAAGTAACTTTCCAGCAACGAAACCAGATTTCTTTGACCGTTACTATTCTTGTGCTTCACCTACATACGTAGAAGGAGATACACTAGGTGCTTTTTATGAGGGATCATTAGTTTCTACCGTACATATCTGTCGTTTGAAGCCCCATCAATGGAACGATGATACACTTCTCTGCGGTGGTATTGCAAACGTTTCAACGGTATCAGCTTATCGCTGTCATGGTTTGTCACGTCATCTATTAACATTAGCAATAGACAAAATGACGAAAGAAGGGTTTCATTATTCACTATTAGGTACAGACAAGTATAGTCATTATGCAGCATTAGGTTGGGAGCAAATGCATCTAACTTACACCATTGTTGAACTAGATCAAAATTTACTCACAACTACATCTAATATCAGCAAATGGATACCATTTACATCAATGACGAACTTTCCTGACTTGTCAACACTTTATGAGAATAATGTGCGTCCGTTGCAGTTTGAACGCTCGCCGTCTTATTTTGAACATTGGGTTGGATGGAATTGGCGCAAATCATCGGCCTTTATAAACGTATTACAAGGAAAAGGATATATCGTATTGAGTATTCTTGATAACACGGATGAAAAATGCTTGACAGTTTCAGAATGGAAATGTGAGGATGAAGAAACAGAGAAAATTCTTCTCAAATCAGCTGCGGTTGAAGCACTTAAACAAAATACGACCAAGCTACGATTCGATGCTCTGCCACAGTATGTTAATAAACAATATTTCAACGAACTTGGCGTGGTGACCAACGCAACACACGATGATTCAATGATTCGGAATATCAACTTATCGACGGAAAAATACAATCAATTAAAAGAATTATACACATCGGGAAAAAGCATTTGTTGGAGATCAGACTGGTTTTAGTGATCACTCTATACAGTAAAATAACTTTAAACATTGTCTTCTAGAAAAGCAGTTAAATTTTTTGATATTTCTAATAGTTTTATTATAAACTGTGTTTAAAGTGTGCTGTATCTAATCCAGTACGGCTATTGACGGTACAATCATGTCGAATCAAATAAATTCGCATTTTTCTAATCTATTGCAGTTTTGATTTATAACTGAGTTGTATCCATGATATTTCTCATCACTTAATTTTTCTGTATAATCTTCCAAAGCACTTCATCTTGCAAATCGATTATCAATTTTTGTAGCTTTTACACTTGCGTTTATACGTAAAAATACATAAACCAAAAATATGTGCCATGTACACTTCGTCAGTTAAAAATCAATGATAATTGTGATAATAAATTGAAGGAATATTCTAAAAGATATGCGAATGGTGTTTTGTGTAGGACAAGAATTCAAAAGAGAATTTTCTTCTTTATTCTCTTAAAAAGAGGATAAAGAAGAAAAATAAATGCCTCATTAAAATATATAATTACTGAAAATCTCAGCTTGTCGCGCGATACCTGAAATCTAGTGATCCCCTCCATCTGCCAGCTAAGAAAGCTATATGTTGTGTTAGTCAGCCCACTGACTATAAATTGCTAAACTAGACAAGAGTTGGACCTAGACCTCCATCACTTGATAAATAATATAACTGCAGAACATATGTTTTGAAAAATGATGAAATTCATCGCGAATGAGTATAAATGCGCAGTCAACTAAAGTCAATTCTAAAATTCAACACAGTCTAAAGTTATGCGCAGATGCGATTGGAAAGTAGTCCACAGAAATCATACAAATTCAAAACTCGGATGGGACCACCATTTCTCAACCAAATTGCATGAAAGTTGAGGAGTGTACATAAGAGAAGGTGTTCTATTCGATCTCACGACCAAAACTACAAAAAACAAAGCGAGCTTTCGATAGGTTTTCAGGTAAAATCTAAGGATAAGAAATATATCTAACGTTTGTGAGTTATACAGCAGGCGAAACTAAGTGAGTTTTGAATAGTTGAAGCAATTTGGTTCTGAGAAGTGGTGGTGCTAGAGAGTTTTTATTTTAGTACAGTCATAGCGGAAAAATTCATCTTTTGAAGTTTGTTTTATCCGGACAACAAAATAAACATTGCTATGGTAATCAGCGTGCCCAAAAACCTATCTACCATGTGCTTTTGGTTGTTCCCAGAGTTCAGATTTAGCCGGTAGGCAGACCCTCGGAGATTGCCTGTAGCGTCCGAACCAGGGTAAATAGAGGTGTGGGAAGACCTGTGCACAACCGCCGCCGATGATAATTACGATTTTCGGCCCCATCGCAGCCGAACATTTCTGAAGTCCCTCTCCGCTCCCGCCGCCGCTAATGGATATTTTTTTTTGATTTTTGGCGCCGCCACTGAAGTTTTGTGGAGGCCCTCGCCGTACAAAGTTGTTTTAGAAAACTCTATTGGTATAAGTTCAATAAACAATTTTCAAATTACTGTTCAAATTGTACGAGAGAGACCACCTAATGCACTACAGCTTGCAATCTTTTTTCTGAAACTTAATTCTGATTTTGCCAGTTTGTAACCCCCTAAAGTTGAGTATATTCTGAAATTTTTAGCCTATAGGGGTGTTTCATCGATCGGGAATAAAGTTTTTATCTCGACACATCACTCTATTCCATAGCATTAATGACTTTTTGTATGGTCTGGCCTTATTCACCAATAACGTTTCTAATCGGGATTTTTGGTGGGTATATACTAGAAAAAGAGTACTACGCATCTACCGGCTCAAAAAATTTCTTGATTCTATCTTAATTCTAGTATTCTAATGCTGCTTACACGCACACAAGCTCTGCTGTTTTCTCCAATCTGCCATTCTTGAATTCATCGAATTCAAATATTATTAATGGCGATGAACAGAAAGAAAAGGAGGGAATTTGAACTGTCTCGCTTTGCGAACAACATGTGTCTGCTTGTTCAATGACTTATCAACGGACATCTTGTTTTAATGTATACATGCTTAATGATTGTCGCATTAAGACGATAAAGATCAATTTTACGGTGACTTACAACTACCATGACCGGTACCGACTCCGCTTAGACGATCTACCAGATGGCAGATCTACCTTCTTTCAATTTGATCTAACCGCCATTGGCAAAAATCGCTTCCATTTCTTTAGTTCTTCTAAAATACTTTTCCCCTTGACTTTAGTCTAGGGCCTGACAAAATGATGGATTCAACAAAATGAATTATTCATTTGATGCGCTTCCAGGTTGTTCTGTTATAACAAATTCATAGCTTGCTGAATATTCTACAATCTAGATATACGTCTTTGAAATCAGACATAGTTATATTTTATTAGTAGTGATATCAAATAAACAATTGGATAAATGAAGAATTAAAATACAGTTCTTGTGTTGAAATAAAAAGCTAACACGAAAAAAACCAATATTAAAAGCGATGTGAAAAACTCTTGTTTTTATGCATTGATAATCCGTTTACAACGAACTATGTCGGAACCGAATCAATAATGGCAGCTCTAAAACCAAACCAGATGACATTTATATGAAACAGCTTGAATTCTCTAAGTCGTCAAGGGGATCGTATTGTGAATGCGAGTAAGATTGTAATTTCTTCCATTGTTTTGGTTGGTTCTCCTAGATAGAGAAGAGAAGACAGGTTGACAAAGTAGGTCTAGACTATAGAAGCACAGTGGGCATTTAGGCGGTGTTTTCTGAAAAAATCGTAGGTGCGAATTTTTTTGTTTTGAATAGTGGTGTATATAGTATAAACAATTCCCTATTTAATGATAAAAAATTTTTTGTTCTAGCTCCTTCCAAAG